GTTTCAATTCCCAATAGACAAAATGCTAAACAGCAACAGAGATGGTGGAGTGATGAACTTGAATATATTAAGACAAAAACATATAGAGCAAGACGTAGATATCAACGAGAACACGACCCAGATGTAAGGGCCGATCTAAGGTCCGAATATTACCAACTTAAATGCCAATTCAGGAAAGCTGTGCTAGAGGCAAAACAAAGGAGCTGGAGGAATTACGTGACAGATATAGGCCAGACCAACCCATGGGGCTTACCGTACAAAATTAACACAGGAAAAATCAAAAAAGTTCAAATCCTCACACCTATAAGACTTGGATCCACCGAGGCGACGGATTGTAGGCAAGCTGCCTCAAACATCATGAAATCTCTCTTCAAGCAAAACAATCTGGAAGAGGATTCGCCCAAACAACAAGACCTCAGAAGGAAGGTGGAAAGGTACAGAGGAGAGACGGATAGTCCCCCATTTGAGGAGTCTGAGCTTAGGTGTGTTGTGGCAAAAATGAAAAGGGGCAAGGCCCCGGGAATTGATGGAATTGATAAATCGATATTGGATGTGGCCTATGACCACATAGAAGGTGAATTAATCAAAGGCTACAATGCCTGCCTACATTACGGTGTTTTCCCTGAGGAATGGAAGAAAGGACGTTTGGTTACCATTCTGAAACCTGGCAACAGGGACAGAAGCGACCATAGATCATACCGACCGATATGCCTTCTCCCAGTTTTGTGAAAGACTTTGGAAGGCCTTATCCGAATTCGCCTAAGGAAAGATATGCAGGATAACACAGAAAACAGCCAGTATGGCTTCAGGATCGGTCGCTCTACTACTGACGCAATACTAAAGCTAAGAACACTGATTGAAAACTCAACAGGGAAATACGTCGTGGGAATTTTCTTTGATATAGTTGGAGCCTTCGACCATTTGTGGTGGCCAAACATCCTGGAAAAATTGACGCAACGACAGTGTCCAAGGAATTTATATTGGCTTATTAAAGATTACCTCCACAACAGGAGAGCTGCAATTATCGATGATAACATGAATATTACAAAACACCTTTACCGTGGGTGCCCTAAAGGCTCCATCTTGGGGCCGGATATGTGGAACCTGGTTTTTGACTCTAATCTTAGGCTGCTAGAGGCGTTGGGGTTCCCGGCAATTGCCTATGCGAATGACGAGGCCATGGTACTGGACGGGAATAGCAGAAGAAAAATAGAAACAAAAGGCGAGATATTAATGACCAATCTGGAAACGTGGGCCACCGCCCATAAGCTGAGATTTTCAACTGAAAAAAAAATCATGGTCATGCTGAAAGGAAGTTTAAGTGAAGAACGACCGCCTATAATCAAACTTTACGGCCATTCGATCAAAATGGAAAAGACGGTCAAGTACCTCGGTCTAACCATAGGAAAGAACTTTAATATAACCGAACATGCAAAGGTCGTAACGGGAAAGGCTGCTAATTATTTCAATTGCCTTGGTCGCATCGCTAGGGCTGAATGGGGCCTCAACTCTCGAGCAATGCTCAATATCTATAAAGGACTTTTCATACCCATGATCACATATGCAGCGGCCGCCTGGGCCGACAAAATCACAACACTAAGCAAGAGGAAACTCGTCGGAGCCCAGCGCGCAGCCCTACTTCGAACACTAAAAGGATATAGGACCTGCTCAGCTGCAGCCCTGCAAGTTTTAGCCAATGCTCTACCAATAGAGCTCGAGATTTAGAAGGCATACGCCAGGTTTTACATAAATAAAGGCAAGACATTTACTATCAAAGGAAGAGAGTTTAGCGAAGGAGGCACAGTCGAAACAAGAAGAGACAGAAGTGAAGTGGAAGAATACCTTAAGGATCTATAGCAAATCTTGGATCAACGTCGATAAAGGACGTCATACATTTCGTTATATTAACAATATACAAGAACGACAGAGTATGAAATGGCTAAGGAGCGACTTCTACATTACTCAATTCTTAACAGGACATGGAGATTTAAAAGAGAGGTTACAGAGCTTTGGACTGGCAAATACTTCATTATGTGAGTGCGGTCAAACTGATAATGCGGACCACGTACTGTTTGCATGTGTAATCTTCGATGAAGAAAGAAGAGACTCAGACTTTTTGATGGAACTCTACACGAAAGCTGAAGTGACAGACGAAGATAAGATGATGATGATAAGGAAGCGAAACTTCCAGCAAGTTATGAAAGTCACGAGAAATATCTTGCGAAAGAGAACCAAAATAAGAAAAGTGACCAACTAATATGAACTAAAGTACACCCGTGACATCTAGTAAATATAAGGAGAACAAAACTGTAGATAGGGAGGCAGAAAGAAAAGAGGACAAGACCGCTGGTATACCTTGGGCAGGGTACAGCGGGGGCGGCTGGAGGGTATTCTCCTGGGTGTCCCTATCTACAGAAGCTAATGGGCCCGGAATGGGGGTTTCGGCTCCCAGCCCTAAAGGTCGTTTATAGGCTTCTTTTTCTTTCGATTGTTATGTATGCTGCTGGTGTGTGGGGCGACGCGCTGGGGCCCCCTCTGTGTCAGAAGCTTTTCAAAGCTCAAAGGATTGTTTTGCTTATGATAACCAAGGCCTACTAGACATCTTCGACCGTCGCTCTCCAGGTCATCTCTGGTGAATTACCGCTTGATTTGGAAGTAAAGTTAATGTATTATAGGTATTTGCTAAGGGCTGGTATAGCATTTACTTTGGGGGTATTCGGTTTCCTGAGGATTGTGGTGGGCTAACAAATGCTCGGATACGAGGGCTTATCAAGCGACAAGTATATAAAGAATGGGATTCTCGTTGGAAAATGGTAGATAAAGGACGTCAGACAGCAATGTTTTTTCCATCTGTATTTACGAGGGCTCGTATGAAGTGGGTTATACCAGATTTTCATGTAAGTCAAGTGCTTACCGGGCACGGCGATTTTAGATCTAAGCTTTTTAAATTTACTTTGGTACTCTTGCGGTGTCCGGTGCGCTTCCGTCGGCCCTTGAAAATCCGAGGGAGAAAGTGTGATTTTTGTGCCAGACCGTACCCATATCCGCAGCAGGTCTCCAAGGTGAACAGCCTCTAGTCGATGGAACAATGTAGGTAAGGGAAGTCGGCAAGACGGATCCGTAACTTCGGGACAAGGATTGGCTCTGAGGACTGGGCCTGTCGGGCTGGAGTCCGAAGCGGGTGCGGCACTGAACCGGGACTGGGCGAGACTGTCTCCCTTCGGGGCGTTCGGTCGAGCCCGGACCAGCGTCGGGGCCTTCCCGTGGAATGCCCCAGCTACGCGNTTCAAGAAACCACACAGACACCAACTATGGTACAGGCATTGATATCTCAACTTAATGGTTTTTGTCCAGATGACAACCCTACACATGATAATGATTGGCAAAAACAGATGAGAAGTGATTCAGATTTACTTACCAATACTGAAGACACCCCTAGTTTCACATATGAAGAAATCAACTGGGCTTTTACAACATTAGGCAGGCGCAAAGCGCCAGGTATGGACGACATAACTGCCGAAATTGCTATAGAACTATGGAAAATAATCCCTGAATCTTTGAATAATTTGTATAATAGTTGTTTAAAGTATGCAATTTTTCCACGTGCCTGGAAGGTAGCACGAGTGATCCCCGTTCCTAAACCAGGATCCATATTAGATAGCAGGCCAATCTCACTCCTGCCCATATTGGGCAAGGTTCTTGAAAAACTCGTGACAAGGAGACTTACATGGCATCTTGAACATCATGGTTATCTCAACAAAGCGCAGTATGGCTTCAGACAACAAAAATCGGCAGAAGATGCCGTAGATAAAACGATATATTACATTCGGAAATTATTGGAAAACAACAAATACGTCCTAGGGGTCAGCCTTGACATCTCAAAGGCATTTGACAGTGCCTGGTGGCCCCTAGTGACACAACAACTACGAAAATTTAACTGTCCCAGAAACATAATGGGTCTTCTTGTTAATTATTTTAAAGAAAGGAAAGCCATACTCCAATATGGAATACACAGTGTTGAAAAGGATATCACGAGGGGGTGCCCGCAGGGTTCAGTCTGCGGTCCCCTGATGTGGAACATCATGTTTGACAGTTTTCTTACTAACAACTTCGGACAAACGCACTGCATTGCATATGCTGATGACGTCTTTATGATTCTGGAGGGAAGATCTCGGGCAGATTTAGAAGAAAAAGGCAATGGACTTCTGCAAAAGATCTACGACTGGGGAGAAAAACACAAGCTCAAATTTAACACAAATAAGACAAAGGCTATTGTCTTTAATAAGCCTAGAGAGAGCAACCTATATACTAGACCACCACACATAAAAATGAACGGGACTACTATAAAAGTCGAAAAATCTTTAAAGTACTTAGGAACTATCATCGATTTTAGACTGTCATGGGATAGTCATATAGATTACATAACAGGAAAAACTGGCCTTATATGTCAAAGTTTCTCCCAGGTGGCAAAACAGAAATGGGGCCTTAGCTCTAAGTCCATATCCATAATATATGAATGTATATACCTTCCAACAATCACTTATGCAAGTGGAACTTGGGGATGGGCAGCTTCTAAAGTCCACCCCAGAAGGAAACTAATATCCTCCCAAAGAAAAATTCTACTGTTATTATCTAAAGCATATAGGACCACAAGTAATGCCAGTTTACAAGTTATAACCATGAAGCCACCAATTGACCTATTTATTGAAGAGAAACAAAAACTATATAGGCTCAAAGGAGGAGAAAATATTAATATAGATAACAGAGAGATCGCACAACAAGACATCGAATGGCCCTTGCCAATAAGCCAAACACTACCACCTGAGAAAGTTATATTTCACAATGAAGACGTTATAGTGGAAGACACCTTAGACATATATACCGATGGTTCATATCACGACAATGGCGTGGGATGCAGTTATGTAATATATAAAGACAACAGAGAAACTAACTACTGAAAAATTAGACTACATAGTGAATGCACAATTTTCCAAGCCGAGATGTTAGCAATAAAAATGGCAATTGAGGACATTAATCATAATTTCAACAATCATCGCATAAAAATATACACAGACTCCTATTCATCAGTACAAACTATCAGGAATAGAAACTTGAATCCTACAGCCGAAAAAATTAGAGAAATAATCTCGTCCTCCACGAACAGATTTGAAATTGAATGGGTACGAGCTCACAATGGTGAGACGGGAAACGAGAGGGCAGACTTCCTGGCAAAGGAAGCTGCCGTTGACGATTCTCTGCCCATAACGTACGACAAGATAAGCAAAAATACACTACGAAATATCCTTCGAAAGGATACCATTAACAAATGGCAGAACATGTGGAATCAGCATATCGGACACATCACATACGATTTCATTCCGAATCTAAAGGATTTTCAACAGAAAAAATGGTACCACCCCAACCACACCTGCTCGCAGGTACTGACGGGACATGGCAGGTTTGCTTCGTACCTTCATAAATTCAAGCACTGTACATCCAAGATATGCCCAACCTGTAATATAGAGGAAGATGGACCTAGGCATTACCTCTTCCGCTGCCCTACATTTGAACGTGAAAGGCTCGAATTAAAAGTAATGATTCAGGAACAGGGAATTAATTGGCCCTGTAAGCCATTAGATATATGGGCTTCTAAAAACACATACATGGCTTTTGACAGACTGTGCAGCCAAATTAATATCATAAATCGCAATCAAACTTTTACTTGATTTCTTCTAATCCCATTACCGACTACTTGTTTAATTGATACTTTATGTAACCATGTAATTCCATGGTACTCCTGATAAGATATCAGGAAATTGTAAAATAGTTCTTTGCTGTGTGGTTTATTGTCCACTTTACTTACATTTGTATATTATTGTATATATATACCTACTGTAATATAATAACTTAATATGTCTCAATACCTGGTTATGCCAAAAGCGGTACCAGGATATGTACAAACGAAAGTACCTAATAAATATAATAATGAATAATGAATGAATGTCTCCTGTGCATGCAAATAAGACAAAGGCTATTGTCTTTAATAAGCCTAGAGAGAGCAACCTATATACGAGACCACCACACATAAAAATGAACGGGACTACTATAAAAGTCGAAAAATCTTTAAAGTACTTAGGAACTATCATCGATTTTAGACTGTCATGGGAATAGTCATATAGATTACATAACAGGAAAAACTGGCCTTATATGTCAAAGTTTCTCCCAGGTGGCAAAACAGAAATGGGGCCTTAGCTCTAAGTCCATATCCATAATATATGAATGTATATACCTTCCAACAATCACTTATGCAAGTGGAACTTGGGGATGGGCAGCTTCTAAAGTCCACCCCAGAAGGAAACTAATATCCTCCCAAAGAAAAATTCTACTGCTATTATCTAAAGCATATAGGACCACAAGTAATGCCAGTTTACAAGTTATAACCATGAAGCCACCAATTGACCTATTTATTGAAGAGAAACAAAAACTATATAGGCTCAAAGGAGGAGAAAATATTAATATAGATAACAGAGAGATCGCACAACAAGACATCGAATGGCCCTTGCCAATAAGCCAAACACTACCACCTGAGAAAGTTATATTTCACAATGAAGACGTTATAGTGGAAGACACCTTAGACATATATACCGATGGTTCATATCACGACAATGGCGTGGGATGCAGTTATGTAATATATAAAGACAACAGAGAAACTAACTACTGAAAAATTAGACTACATAGTGAATGCACAATTTTCCAAGCCGAGATGTTAGCAATAAAAATGGCAATTGAGGACATTAATCATAATTTCAACAATCATCGCATAAAAATATACACAGACTCCTATTCATCAGTACAAACTATCAGGAATAGAAACTTGAATCCTACAGCCGAAAAAATTAGAGAAATAATCTCGTCCTCCACGAACAGATTTGAAATTGAATGGGTACGAGCTCACAATGGTGAGACGGGAAACGAGAGGGCAGACTTCCTGGCAAAGGAAGCTGCCGTTGACGATTCTCTGCCCATAACGTACGACAAGATAAGCAAAAATACACTACGAAATATCCTTCGAAAGGATACCATTAACAAATGGCAGAACATGTGGAATCAGCATATCGGACACATCANCACTGTCTCTCCAAATGGGGGTTTGGTGCTTATTTGCGTCACCCCAACTCGTACGTACCAGCCTTGTCGTGGCGGAGGGGCTTAGTACCCAGGAGCACATTAGCCTTTTTACAGCATAGCTGTATAGGCGTGTTTCCTGGGGAAGCTAATGGTGCGGCGGGGGATTCAGGTTTTGGCCTGTCTCTGAAGCTATATCATGTGCTTGGGTCACGGTCTCGGGGAGAGAGGACTGAGGGCAGTCCCCGAGGGTACAGGTTATAAACTGGGGGTGGTGCACCTGGGGCGCCCCATAGTTAGGGGCCCGGTGGAGATTAGCCATCATTCCACTGGCTGCCCTGATCAGGGGGTTGTAAATCTCGCGCTCCGTCGGAGTGCGAGGTGGCGCCTCGATCAGGTCCCTTCGGCGGGGCGCGGGGGTCCTTTCCCGAGGCCACGGGGGCTGCCCTTGGTTCTCTCATGGGCCTTGAGGCGGGGCCCGGGTGCATGGTGTGGTGGATGGGATTAGGTCTACACCTGGATCTGGGGGGTTTTGGGGAATTTTCTAAATAAAAAATGGATAGTTCTAAAAAGGTAAAACGTTTACAAGCACCGGGTGGGGGGGATGAGCTACCTGGCTCTGCAAGTAGTAGCAGTAGAAGGAGAGTTAGTCGTAATTTAGATACCTCAATACAAAAGTTGTTGGGAATGGAGTTACAAAGTGATTCAATAGGAATATTAGAAAGAATAAGTAAATTGGTAAGTGAGGTTAACAAAATATGTATAAAAAAGGATGCTAAAATAACGCAAACTGTAGGAAAGACATTAAATGATTTATTTAATGAAGCTAAGGAAATGGTTTATGGATTAGTAGTAGATAATGAAAACCTTAAAGGTAAATTAGAAGTAATGGAACAAACAATTAAAACTGGTGCAAGGATAGGATATAAACAGGTAACTTATGCTGAGAAGGTTAAAGGAGTTGGTAGGGGAGTTGGCCCTATAGAAAGTGATAGTTCTAGAGTTATATTAATTAAAGGCGATGAGAATGATGAAACAGAGATAGTGAAACAAAAATTTTTATCTTCTATAAATCCTCATAGCGATAGGATTAGAATACAAGGAATACGAAGAATGAGAGAGAAAGGATTGATAGTGACAGTTGCATCAGAAATGGATAGAGAAAAAGTATTACAACATAAGGTTTTGAAGGAGAAGAAGTTGAATATGCAGATACCGCGAAAGAAACGCCCTAGAATGTTAGTAATAGATGTACCGTGTGATGTAGAAGGTGAAGAATTGACAAAGTTAATATATTCATTAAATGCAGATTTAATATATAATGATATGGGTGTGACGTATGAACAATTTTGTGAGGAGTTTAAATTGTTGTATAAAGTAGGTAAGAAAAGGGAATATTTGGTCAATTGGGTTATTGAAGTGTCCCCTTTGTTACGTCAGAGTTTAAGTGTAAATGGTAGGATTTATATAGAATATCGTAGTTGCTTAGTGCGGGATTATGTAGAAGTATTGAGGTGTTATAAGTGCCAATTATTTGGCCACACTGCAAGATTCTGTCGTCAAGATCAAGACACTTGTTTCCGCTGTGGGAAGGATGGTCATAGAGGTAAGGATTGTGAAGAGGAGGGTATAATAAAGTTTTGTATACCGTGTAAAAAGATAGGTAGACCTCATGGGCATTTGGCGAGAACTAAAGAATGTTATACTTATAATTTAGCTATTTCTCGTTATAAACAAAATATTGATTATGGCTAATAAATTTAATATAGATAGGTTTAGGTTAGTTCAATTGAATATGCAACGGAAGGCCTCGGTGACTGCTGAAATCTTAGAGTATGTTAAAAAGAAGAATATAGATATATTGCTAGTACAAGAACCTTACTCGGTAAAAGGGAAGATGATTGGTTTTGGTAAACATATACGGGTTGTGCATGATGTACAGGTTACACCTTGGGCTGCCATAGTTGTGTTAAATGAATATTTTACGGTATTAGCATTGTCAAAATTATCTTCTAAAACATGTGCGGTAGCACAAGTACTTTGTGAGGATGAGAGTTTTTATGTGATAAGTATATATTTTCCTCCGAGTGTTAGTATAGATATATCAATTAGTGAGTTAGAGAGGGTTTTAGTTGTGTTGCGAGGATATAAAGTTATAATAGGTATGGATTCAAATTCTAAGTCCCCAATATGGGGTTCAAATTATATGGATGATAAAGGTGAATTGTTGATGCAGGTTATTGCTAAATGGGGATATGAGGTAGTAAATACACAGAATATTATTCCGACTTTCCTTTCCACAAGGGGGAAATCATTTGTAGATATAGTTTTAGTATCTAGGAATATGGTTAGGTACAAACAGGGCTGTATAGTTAGTCATGATTATACAACTAGTGATCATGCTGTTATTAGTTGTGAATTTAGTTTTACCTTATGTCGGAGTATAAGTGCTAAAAGGTATATCCCAAGAAAAGTTAATTGGTCAAAGTTTAGAAATATATTACAAAATTATATAGAAGGACATAAAGTAGTAATTATTGAGGATAAGAAGGATGTAATATATCTTAGTAAGGTAATAGCAGAAGGGTTAAGAAGAGCAATATGGGGTGTTTCTCGGATAACAAAGGTTAAGGATAGTGTGCCAAATTGGTGGTCAGATGATTTAACTAAGTTAAGGAGTGAGGTACATCGGAGTAGAAGGTTATTTCAGAAAGAAAAAGATTTATTATTACGAGAGGATAAGTTGAAGGAATTTCAACAAAAAAATAAAATATATAAGAGTAGGATTCGGGAAGCCAAACAAAGAAGTTGGAGAAATTTGATTGAAGGTATGAATATCAGAAATGTATGGGGTGTCCCTTATAAAGTTATATATGAAAAGGTTAAAATAAAACAAGTTTTAAGTGCTATGTCTGATAATGGCGATGTAGGTTTGGATTGGAAAGAGACTTTGAGGAATATTATGAAGGTTTTGTTTCCGGATGATAGTGTAGATGAGGAGACGGGTTCACAGAGTCAGCTTAGGCAAGACAATAATCGTTATAGTAATTCGAATAGATCGGATCCTTTTACAATGAGAGAGCTATATAATGTGATTACTTCATTTAAGGGAAGGAGAGCTCCGGGACTTGATCAGGTAACATATGAAATAATTAGGCAATCATTTCCAGTTATAAGGGTTGAGATGTTGAGGTTATATAATATTTGTTTAATGTTTGGGGTATTCCCTGCATATTGGAAGGTTGGTAGTTTAATTGTAATATTAAAGGATAGGAAAAGAGATAGAAATAATCCACGGTCATACCGACCTATTTGTTTGTTATCAATGTTAGGAAAAATTTTTGAGAAACTTATTCGTTTAAGATTGGATAAATTAATGAGTAAATATATAGATATATGGCAGTTTGGTTTTATTCAAGGACGCTCAACAGTAGATGCAATATGTTTGTTAAAGAAGTGGGTAAGAGAATCCAGGTATAAATATGTCTTGGGCTTATTTTTAGATATTAAAGGTGCCTTTGACCATATCTGGTGGCCTAGTGTGCTCGAGAGTCTTAGAAAACAAGAGTGTTCGTATGATCTTTATAAGGTTGTTCAGGATTATTTATCTTACAGAAAGGTTACATATAGGGATGGTACTTTGGTATATGATAAGTTAGTTAATAGAGGGTGTCCTCAGGGCTCAGTATTGGGCCCTGAGTTTTGGAAATATGTATTTAATGGTGTGTTAATAAAATTGCGAGATTTAGGGATTAGGTTTATAGCGTATGCCGATGACCTGGTGGTTGTATTGGAAGCCGATAATCGTAGGACTCTTGAATCAGAAGGGCAGAGAGTAGTAGATAGTTTATATGGATGGTTGGATAGTATAAAACTGAGCCTTGAACCGAGTAAGACGGTCATGTTGCTCTTGAAGGGTTCCCTCAGCCCGGATCGCCCCCCTAGCTTAAATATGCAGGGCACTCCCGTCAGGATGGGGGGGTCGGTCCGCTACCTGGGAGTGATCCTGGGGGCGGGCATGAGCCCCTTACCACATATTGACGGGGTTTGTCGTAAGGCGATGATAACTTTTTGTAAATTACAGGGCCTGGCAGGCGCGGGGTGGGGGTTGCGGCTTCCCGCTCTGCGTTTCCTGTACAGGTCCTTGTTTGTGCCTCAGGTGGTTTATGCTGCTGGTGAGTGGGGCGACGCGCTGGGGGCCCTTCATAGGAGAAAGTTAGTACAGTTTCAGCGAACTGTTCTTTTAATACTAACTAGAGCTTACCGAACAACATCCACTCCTGCCCTCCAGGTTTTGGCTGGTGAAATGCCGCTGGACTTAGAAGTATTGCGTGAGTATTATATTTACCTATTTAGAATAGGTAAAAGTTTTAAATTAGGCACATATACTTTTTCACCAGGTGATTGGCAGGGAACAAAGGTAGATGCTTTACGTAAGATAAGGGATGAATTGATTAAAATATGGAATAATAGATGGATTACTGAGTCTCGTGGTAGACAAACATTTTTGTTTTTCCCAACGATTATGGAAAGGTTGAGGGCACACTGGGTTCAACCGGACTATTACTTGTCTCAAATTATTACAGGGCATGGGGATTTTAATCAAAAATTATTTTCTTTCGGGTTAACTTCATCTCCATTCTGTGAGTGCGGAGAGGTGGATACTCTTGAACACTTTGTATTTCATTGCCCGATATATTCGAGATATAGAATAGAATTAGAATTATTAGATATAAGTATAGAACNTTTAAATGAGAGTAAACTAAGGTTACAAAAGCCTGTCAAGCGTAGACCTCGTATGTTGTTGTTGGATGCTCCTAGAGAGTATACAGAGAGTGAGTTAGTTGAATCTATTTATGATTTAAATAAGGATTTTATATATAGAGGTTGTGTTGAGGATGAGGACGATTTTGTGAGTTTTAATTTAGATTTTAAGTTATTGTATAGAATTGGAAAACGACGCGATTCTTTAGTGAATTGGGTTATTGAAGTGACTCCTGAACTAAGACGACGTTTTTTGGCAATGGGTAGGTTATATATACAGTATCGTAGTTGTATTATTAAGGATTATTACGAGATAATACGGTGTTTCAAATGTCAGCAATTCGGTCACTTAGCAAAGGATTGTAGACAACAACAGGATATATGTTTTCGGTGTGGACAGAGTGGGCATAGGGGAGGTGATTGTCAGGAGGAAAGTCAATCTAGAATTTGTATAGCTTGTCGTAAGATGGGTAAACCAAGTGCGCATGTTACTAAATCAAGGGATTGTTATTCTTATCACATGGCAGTGTTTAGGTATAAACAGCATATAGATTATGGTTAATAAGGGTGTAAATTTGTGTAGGATATTACAAATTAACATGCAGAGGAAAATATCCTTACCTGAGGAGGTACTTAGTTACTCTTATCGAAACGGGGTAGATATAATATTGTCGCAAGAGCCATATGCTGTACGACAGCGTGTTGTGGGATTCGGGAGGACTAGAGTGATCCAGAGTTTAGGTGAAACTCCTTGGACTGCGATAGTTGTGGTAAATGATAGTTGGACTATTTTAGCATTAACATTTTTGTCCTCGCGAACCTGTGCAGTAGCACAGATGCTACGAGATGATATATCTTTTTATGCGGCAAGTTTATATTTTCCCCCGCATCAGGAGATCGAGATCAGTTTGGATGAGTTAGAAAACTTATTGAGAAACCTCAAAGGAAAAAGGGTGATTTTAGGTATAGATTCTAACGCCAAAAGTCCACTTTGGGGTGATAGTAGATTAGATGATAGAGGGAAAAAGGTGTTGGCTATTTTATATAAATGGAATTTTGTAGTGGTTAACACACAGAACATAATTCCTACATATAGGTCATCTACTGGGGAATCTTTTGTTGATATTGTTGCCGTATCTTATAACATGTTATCATATATACAGGATTGTGAAGTTAGTCATGATAATACAACTAGTGATCATGCCACATTAATGTATGATATTAAGTTTAATAAAGATTTTAGTGCTCTGGAGTACAGTTATAATTTTCGACAAGTTAATTGGAATAAGTTTCGAAAAATTTTAGGTAATTATTTAAATAATCATAGGATTGTAGAGATTGAGGATAAACGGGATGTAATGTACTTATGTAGTATTATACATGAGGCTATAAGGAGGGCTATATGGGGGACTGCTAGGCTTGTTAAGAGTAAAAGGCCAAGATCATTATGGTGGTCAGATGATTTGCAGAAGTTGAAATTGCATGTTCAGAGATGTAGAAGGATTTTTCAAAGGGAGGGCGATGTTGTTCTCCGTGAAATTAAGCATAAGGAATACCAGTTACAAAATAGGTTGTATAAAGATAGTGTTAAAAAAGCAAAGTTGAGTAGTTGGAGGAATTTAGTTGAGGGAATGAATGTCAGGAATGTGTGGGGTATTCCTTATAAGATAATTTTTGAAAAAGTTAAGGTTAAACAAATACTTCATGCTGTCTATGGTGAAACAGATTATATTATAGATTGGAAAGAGTCAGTTGGGAAATTGATGGATATATTATTTCCGTGTGATGATTTAATGGATGATACTGATAGACAGTGTAGGATTAGGTTGGATAATTTAAATTATTTTAATAATGAAAGGTCAGAAAATTTTACAATGACGGAGTTGTGTAGGGTTATTTCTACTTTTAAAGGTAGACGTGCACCAGGATTAGATAGGATAACTTTTGAGGTTGTAAAACAGTCTTTACCAATTTTGCGGACAAATTTATTG